AGATTAAGATCTGCAAAACAGCTATTAGTGCCACAATCTCCAAAACAACTATTAGTCTCACAAGAGTGTACGAAAAAGAAATAGACATATGACACGATTATCTTGAAACATAAGATGGAAAACATGAATAGATGAAAACTAAGACTCATGAAAAACAAATCTCAAACAACAAAAGCAAGATCATAAACCACACAAGCAATGATATGACGATGTAAATACCAGGAACATGCAAGAAGGAAGTAAATAGCAAACAATGCAAAGCAACATTCAAAACAACTAGCCAATCTCCCTTACCAAACAAATCAAAGTGTTCATGCTAAACAACTCTTGCAATGAAAAACCAAACTCCCTTACCAACCCAAATCAAGATGAACCAAACTCCCCCTCACTAAAAGCAACCACAAACACTGAAAACAGTGAACAAGACAACAAAAATAATATGGTGGAGCAAGCAAGGAATTTCAGATTTGTACCTTAAAACACACAAGATTATCCAAGAAGAACAATTACCAATAAACACAATGTGCACAGTCTGTAGAAGATTCCTCATGAAAGAAAGTGATGCATTATGTGCAAAGCTTAGATCCCATGATAAAAGTGTGTGTGTGACTCTTGGAGTTCGACAAACACTAAACTCAATCCTAGTAGTGATATGAAAGTTGGACCTCCGACAAGAGAATTTAAGCATAACTATGGAAAATCAAACCACTAGGAATCAAGGGGTATTTGGTGAGTAAAAGTGGAGGCTCCCCCTCAATCAATGAATCTTTTTCCTTTTTTTTTTCTCACACACTTTTTCTTTTCTTTCTTTTGCACATTTTTTCTTTTCTTTTCTTTCTTTTGCACATTTTTTTCTTTTCTTTCTTGTGCATATTTTTTCTTTTTCTTTTTCTTTTTCTTTTGCACAATCATTGGCGGCTGACACGCTCAAGAGTATGGAAACCGAACCAGAGAAGCATGGATATAATAATGATGGCCTGGTTGGTGACTCTGAGGTAGCCTTTTCCTCATGGCAGGACTACAAAGAATAGAGGGGAAAGCCGTGGAGATGCAAAAAGATGGTAAGTGGTTAAGAGACTCAACATCACCCATGATATGCCAGTACAAGTCAATTCCTCTAGAAACGCAAAAGATCAATGACAGAAGTCCATAGAGAAAAAATAATCACTAAGGCGGAAAACTCCAAAATTTGCTAATCCAAGAGTGTGTCCAGAATGAGACATACTAATCAAAGAACACACACTCCAACATGAGTAATGACCACAGAAAGCACACACATATTAACATGTAATGGATATTCTTATCAATTCAAATATGCACCAAGGACCACTCAAAAATTTCAAGCTTGCAAAATCATACTAAGAAAATCTTTTTGGTCTTTTTTTTTTTTTTTTTCCCACCAAAGCAAGACAAAAAACGAACCACACATTTTTTTTTCCATTAAAAAAACAACACACAAAAACCCAAAAGCTAAAACAAATTAACATAAGTCAAGTTTTCTCACCCAAACTGCTTTAGTACGGACAAAGTTGTGAGCATTGCGGTTCTTGGGTGGTGTCTTGACATTGTGGTTCCCTTCCTTTCAATGGGAACCTGTCTCGACATGGTTTTCAACTTCCTGTTTCTAGGTCTAGGTAAATACACACTCCCATGCAACTTATAACAATAAGGGCGAATATGACCATGCACACCACAATGATGACAAATAAAAACAGGGTGTACCTTCTTTTCTTTTGCCTTACCAACTCTAGGAAGTTTGAGAAGTCCATCCTTATGTTGAAATTTTTGTTCTCTCTTTCCTTGAGTTCTTGTATCATGAGATGTTGAAGCATTCTGTTTTTGCTCTTTCTTACCACCAAAGCCAATGCCACTCTTGTCACAACTCATTTGTTGAGACCCAATGATATCCTCCAAAGTCTTTGATCCTTTGTTCCAAAGACCAATGGTAGCCATAGCACACTTGTTAATCCTTGAGTCTTGTATCATGAGATGTTGAAGCATTCTGTTTTTGCTCTTTTTTACCACCAAAGCCAATGCCACTCTTGTCACAACTCATTTGTTGAGACCCAATGATATCCTCCAAAGTCTTTGATCCTTTGTTCCAAAGACCAATGGTAGCCATAGCACACTTGAGTTCTTCTTCTTTATTGATCATTAGTTCTTCCAAAGCAACTTGAGACATCTCGAGAGTTTCAATTTTTTCTTCATATGTTGCATAGATTTGTTGTAGCTCATCCCTCTCTGTCTCACAAGTCAACAGTTTTGCACAAAGAACTTTTCGATCATCAGCTATCTTGATGGCATTAATCCTGGCCTCGGAAATCTCCTTAAGTTTGACATTCTCACTTTCACATGCTTTGAGTTTCTTTGTGAGTTTGTCATTTAATTTGAATAAGTTAAGAGACTCCTTATACAACTTTTCATAAGCTTGCTCCAGCTCTTCATGATCACTCTCTGAGGATTCATCATCAGTGATATTCTCAACTGACCTCTTCGGAGAATCTGTTTGTCCTTCAGCTTCGGAAGCCACCATGAAAGCAAGGAATTGTTTATGTCCCTCTTCGCCTTGATCTTCATTGTCAATTTCATCTTCATCAGATTCTGATTCATCATCCCAACTGATGGCGAGGGCTTTCTTCTTCCTCAAACGAGTAGGGCATTCTGAAGCAAAGTGGCCATATCCTTGGCATTCATAGCATTGGAGTCTTTCAGAGTTCCCTTGTATCTTTCCTTTCTCCTTCTTGGCTATAGAATTAATTTTGAGTTTATCTTTGCCTTTGGATTTATGAGTATGAGTAGATTCCAAAAGATTAGGATTCTTTTTCAGAAAAGATTTTTTAAATTGTTTAACAAAAGCAGCCGTAATCTTAGAATCTATCTCACAATCCTCATCAGAATCCTCTACCACTTTATGAGCACTACTAAAAGCAAAATCTTTTTGTTTCTTTTTGAAATTTCTATGTGCCTCATAAGTTTGGAGATTTCCAACCAACTGATCCAGCTTGAGGGTGTCAACATCTTAAGCCTCCTCAATTGCCGTAACTTTTGGTTGGAACCGATCGGACAAGGATCTCAAAATTTTTCCCACAACTTTGGATTCTGGTATTTTTTCACCTAAATTGAAGCTGGAATTAACAATGCCACTCAATTTCGCATAAAATTCATCAAAGGTCTCACTATTTTTCATTGAAAGGTTTTCGAAACTGGATGTGAGCCTTTGAAGTTTTGAGCGTTTAACAGAAAGAGTGCCCTCATGAATAGTTTGTAAGATATCCCAAGCCTCTTTTACGACTTCACAATTGCAAATCCGACTAAACTCTTCAGGTGTGACAGCGCAAAAGAGAGAATTGATAGCTTTACTATTCCAGCTACTATTTTGGTAATCAGTTGTGTCCCACTTATCAATTGGTTTGGGGAAAGTTACTCCATCAATAGTAATTGTTGGTTCAGTCCACCCATTCATGACGGATTGCCAAACTTTTTCATCAATAGATTTTTAAAAAGATCTCATCCGAGCTTTCCAAAAAGAATAATTGGATCCATCAAGTAGGAGTGGTCGAACCATAGAATTTCCCTCACGAATTGTATCCATTATCACAAATCAAACAAGATCTCGTTCTAAAAGAATTTTTTTTTAAAAAAAAAACTAGAACGACCCGCTCTGATACCAATTGAAAAATCTAGAAACCTCCTAGATGTTGATTTGTGATTATGTACCAATTTTAAGCAGAATATAACAATCCCAATCAAACAATCAAAGAGAAATCAACACAACGATTTTACGTGGAAAAACCACAATTGGACACCTCCAACTGTGATTAAAAAACCACGGGCAACAACCACAGACCAATCCACTAAGAAGATTTAAAGGAATTACACAGGTATACTCTCAATTACCTAGCGAATCCACGCCTAATTGAACCAACCTCTATCTGTCTCTTCCAACCTGTCTTCACCTCGGAATTGTCTTTACGATGAACCACCCCGGAATCCACCAAAGCTTCAGGCTCGAATTCTTCAAAATCCACAGAAGAACAACTCTCTCTTTTGTAGAACAAACAAAACCTTTAATGTACACTCTTTAAACCATGAGTTGAATACTCAATAAAAACATCAAAGAAAACTAACAAAATATCTCCAGATATAAACCTTAAGAACTAAAAAGAAGATCTTGAGGAATTAAATAGTTTTGGAAGAAAACCAACTATTTATAGAAAATCCAAAAGTAATCCTAGTTTTGGAAGAAATCCAATTACTTAAAGAAATCCAAAAGTAATCCTAGTTTTGGAAGAAAATCAACTTCTTAAAGAAATCCTTATCAAAAGGGATTGCCAATAATAAAACCTAACATAAATAAATAAAAAACCATCCTCAATCCTTGCTCCTATCCATAGTTGAATAAAAACATGACCGTGGAGCATTTGATGAAAGAATTAAGTGAGGCTTGAGTTGATGAAAAATTTGGTTATCCCTTCATTTGATATTGATACAGGTTGGAGCTGATTTTTAAGTATTTTTCCATTAAATTTGAGTTTGACGAATGATTATAGATGCTGTAAGATTCTATTTTTTCTACAGATGATCTGAAATTAAGAAAATAAAAAAGTAATTGTTTCCTATTTACTTTCCTATTTTTGTTTTTTTAATCTGCCTAGATAACAAACAAAGAAATTTTTTTATTTTACTTTTACCTTCACGTAGAGGGATTTGAAATGGAAGCTTTTAAATACATCCATATAACTCTTCTCCACACCGACTTTGCGATGAAACCCAATTCGCAATAGTCTCAACTCATGACTCGAGGCGTGGCTAGTCGACCAATGTGAGTTGTCAAAATTAGGGGGGGGGGGGAAAGAAAAGAGAAAAAAGGGTTATATTTGTAAAACTGAAACCAAGGATCTTTCTGCCCAAAAAATTCATCAGTTTTTAAGGATCACAGCCTTTCCTATAACCTGCAAAAATTTATATTTGAATTGTGATGACTGTACTCCTCTTTGCAGGATTTGAAAGATTGTCAAATTTGAGGAAGCTGGAGATCTTGGATCTGGGCTCCAATGACTTTGATGACAATAATATCTTCCACTCTTTGGGTGCTCTCACTTCAATTAAGACTTTGATTATCAGTGACAATGCCTTGGGAGGATACTTCCCTGCACATGGCATGTTTCCCTCCATTCATTTTCATAGGGCGTACATAATTCTGTGCTTCTCTTTCTATGCAGTTTCTTTTTAATTATATATATGGTTACTCATACATATACATTCTTGGCGTAGAATTAGTAGCATTGAGAAACTTGGAAACATTGGATATAAGCATCAATCGTTATCATGGCTGTCTCCCAATGCAAGGTAACACAATAGCCATCTCTGCATCTCTCTTTTATTGTCTATTTGATTTCATAGGATCAACTCATTCAAAACTTAAGTTATTTAAGTTTATAATAGTATAAGGAAAGAGGAGAATAAATACTTGACTGGTGACCAAGGTGTGATGTTTGCAATCAGTTTGCAATGATATTCTTTTTTACTCCCTCTCAAATTTTGTGACATAATGTTTTGGTGGTAAACCTCTACAATTTGATTGTTAGTAACTTTTAATCACCAAGATGTCTGAAATTCATTGCTAGAAAATTTTTTGTGACCAAACCACCGTGCAAGATTCACCTTTAGAAAAACAATTGAAGGGTTCCTAGAAATCCATATTGAATAATAAATCCAGCTACACTCTAGTGATGATGTCTTCATGTAACTACACCTGATGAAAGTGTCCCTTGATTTTACATGCTCTTTTTATCAATAATGTCTTCTAATTGGATATGAAAATATTTTACTTATAAAAAAAAAAAAAAAAATTGATATTAAACTCATACACTCTCTTTTCTTGTTTTGCTTTACTTCCTATATTTTTTTTTTCTTTTCGTTTATTTTACTTTTTTTTTTCAATGTAATTTCTTCTGTTTTTCTACTAAGAGTTGTTGCCTTTTATATAAGTAAGGAGATTTGTGAAATGAGACTATTAATTACATGGAAGAGAATATAATTTTTAAAATATCAAAAAATAAATTGTAATTGAACCAAACCTTAAAGGTGTCAGTGTAATTTACCCTTTTATTTTTATTTTTTTTGATTAGCAAAGAAAATGAACTTCGTTGGTGAAATAGATAAGTATTACATCAATAAAAGAAAATGAGAATGGGTGCAAAAAGTATCATCACGAGTTGGTGAGAAACCAACCACATAACACCAAAAAACCACCCCACCCAATGAAACGCTAACCACATCTGCAGCAAACCAAACAGCAATAAAAAGTGAAAAAGACAGACCAAAACTAGTTGACAGCTCAACACAAAACAAAAACAGCAGTCCAAGTATAGCAGCAGAGTCCACCAAAACAGAGCAAAACTACCAAACATTTCACCGTCTTCAGTAGCCCATCTTCCTTTAGTAGTAGCCCATCTCTCACTTGAATTTCAGGCCAACATTACAGTTCATCCACCTCTCTGTGTTAACAACCACCTCTAATTTACCCTTTTATTAATAACACACGAATACATCCCAACAAATCCACAATCCACTTGCACAAGACATTACTACACTCTCATGACAACCGACACAGCTCACTCATGCTATTTCACTCACACGTTTTGTATGTATATCTCACACACTTTCTTTGCATTCACTCTCACACACACCAAGACTTATCCTTTCTCTCACTACATAGGGCTGCGTTAGAAATTGGTAAAATCCATAATTCGATTTGATCCAATCTAATTTGATAGGTTTGAATTAATTTTTAAATTCGTGATTCAGTTTTGGATTGAAAAATTAAAAATTCGTAATCCATGGATCGGTTCTGGATTGAACTCCACGGTTTCTGATTGGAACTGATCCGGATCATATACAAATAGCTATATTTATATTATACATCATCCCGCATAGTATCTTCTCTTATTTCATATAAAATCTAAACCTAAACCTAACCCTGCATAGTATATTTTTTATTACTTTTGTTTGTTGGTTTTTAGTTTTAATTTGTAATGGTCTAAATATTTATGGTAGAACTAGTTTTCTTATAGTTGTTTAAATTCTAGAACAGTATGTCGTTATTGTGAAAAGACATGTTGTTATTGTGGAACTAATATGATGCTATGTTTATATTTTTATAAAATTAAAATGTTATATATATTTTTATTATTATTTAATTATGTGAATCCATGATCCTAAATTGATTCAATCCGTGTTTAAATGGATTGGTGCGGATTGGTTACATGATTTAAACGAATTAGATTAGTTCTAATTTTTCAGGAATCGTTGATAATAGATTGATCCTCTTTTTACTTCAATCCAGACCAATCCGAATCATGCTTCCCCAATCACTACAAGTACACACATAGATGACCAATTTCGTATTTATAGCTACAAGAGTCTGCTATATCCACCGACAGCAATGCTACTGACCCCCAGTGCCACGTGTCGGCCTGGGGTTGGTTGAAAACTCAAAAAAAAAAAAAACTATTTTTTTGGACCAATGGGAGGGGACCCCAGTACCCCCACTGGGGTCCAAAGCTTTATTCATCCACCGACTTTGAAATTTCAAATTCTTCATAAAGGTGGCAACCCAAGCTTTTCACACCCACACATTCCTTCAACCAAAATCTAACAAGAAATATCTAAAGAAAAAGTTAGAGAAGATTCTATATAGAGAGAGAGAGAGAGAGAGAGAGTGTTAGTGTTGAATATAATAATATAACTATACTCCTCTAGATATTGATAGGAAAATCATATTTTTGGTCCAATATAATCAGTGCTGAGCCACGTAAGGACAAGGGGCACGTGCCCCTTGGATTTTGTGATTTTTTTTAAAAAAAAATATAAAGAAAATATTTTAAATAAAAAGAATTACAAAAATATTATTAGAGTGAAATGTCAATGATATTTTTAAAATTATAAAAATAATAATGGTTGTTTTGATTGAAAATGAAGAGACTATAATAAATTATATTATCTATGAAAATTTTAAATGAAACGGTAATATCATTATTATTGACATGCAAGTATAAGTAATCTCATTATAAAGATATGAAATTTATTAGATTGTTAGTTATATTTGACATGTGAGGCTCACTCTCTATGTGTTTATTTACTATTAGTTGGTGATATCACATACTAATGATGACTTGATATTGCAATTATATTGAGTTGTTAATCAAATTTTGTATAAAAAAATAATTTATCATTATATAATTTATTTTAAGACTTATGTCCATATTTTTTTATATTGTCCATGATATACTAATTATAAATAATATTATTTTTTTGATGTTTCTCGAAATCAATCGTAAAAACTTGCGTGAAATATTTTTGTAAAAATTTTCGATATCGTAATTAATAAGTGCCCCCTCTAATTTAATTTTCTGGCTCCACCACTGCAAACTAACCACATCGTTATTGCTCATACCCGCATTAGACATGAGTGAGACTTTAGGAACAATTAAAAAGAAAAGGGATCTAAATTCCTTCTTTCTTTGGATGGCTGCCTTCCATGTATCTCATAAAACCTGTTTTCAAGAGAGTTTTCATTATTAAAAAAAAACACACACACACACAACAACAACAACTATCATTTTTTGCATTTGTCAAATTTATACCAAGGACAAATAACGAGCAACCTTTGAGCCAGTAATTGAGAATAATGCAAGACAAGCCCAAGTGAACTTTAGATTATGTAAATTGTTATTAAGATCCTAGTTTTTGTTTAGTGTGTTCTGCTTGTCATGCATTTTTTAGCACATTTATAGTCTTCAAGAAATGATATTAGAGTCTTATAATTCATTGTTGACAAGAAGTCATAGAAGCAACATTGTTATTCTATTCTAGTAAGTTATTTATAATAAAAAATAAAAATCTCTTAGGGTCTCATCAAGCCTCAGCAACATTATCTTTTTTTTTTCTTTTTTTCTTTTTTTTTTCTCTTCAATCTATTGTGTGTACCAAACAAGCCATCATGTGTTTTGGTCACTTTCTTCAATCTACCAAAGCCCAATTGCCAGTATCTCAAATCTTTTAAGTACTCAACTTTTTATCCTCTAGTTCATTAATTCTACTAGATCAATGAGCATTGAATGATAAATGGCAATTACGAGCATAAAAGACTAATAATAATCCAAGTAGAAATTGATTGAAAAGAAAAAAAGTTGAAACAACAAAAACAGAGGACAAACAAAAAAAATGGGCAAGAGAGCCCAAGGGAACATACCAATTGCAAAACAGATACCCAATACAACCTCCAACTCCCAACAAAACTATCTTACTAGCTGCCATACAATTGTAATGAAGAATATTAACGAAAAGCTCATGCTCTATTTGGATCGGGGATTTGTAGAGGAAAAATAAAGTGAAAAAATAATAATAATTTTAGCATCTTTTTACTTTACATTTTCTTTTTTCTTTTCCTTTCTCTTTACCAATCAATGAAAAATGTTACAATCAAATGAAAGCCATAGATCACAATGTAAAAACATATGGAAAAAGTACCTCCGTCGTTGATATCATCAGTTCTGCGAACAAACAACAAGAGCATGGCAACTTGATGGCGCGCCTGAAGAGTATTGATGACAAGCTCGATTTGAATCGCAACTTGATAAAAATGGTCTTCAGGCGCGCCATCAAGTCACCATGCTCTTGTTGCTTTTGTGTCGCCTCTATAAAAATGCTTCTTAGCAGCGTGCTAGTCGAGATACCAATGGACAGATGCTCAAGCCCGAATTGGTGTCAGAGTGATTGCCACCAAGGAAGAGGAGGGGGCTTCCTAATCACCAAAGACATAGCTGCAACAAAAAAATCAATTATAAGTTACATGGAATAAACCCTATACCTACATTTCCCCTATATTTTTATTTTCATTTTCAAATCTCTATCCAAATCACGATCCAATCCAAGTTAACATAACACAAACTATTCAGTGCTAACAATTGCACCATAGGCATTGTTTCAAGCCTTATTGTCTAGAGGTTATTTAGCTAAAATAATCGATATAATAAAATGTCTCATCCAATCAATAATCATTTCTTT